AAAGAATTATCAACATAGATTTAGTGTATATTATCCAATAGGCTAGTATTGATTGGTACGAGGTAATAACTTAGTCAAATATCGAATATGATGCTTAATATGAGGTAAAGATAAGGGTTAGTATAGCAACACACGTAGCCGGACCAAGGTGCGGAGTGAAATTTTCTAGATGCCGAACCAAGGATTTAGAAATACATAACTTATCACTTTGCATGCACGATACTTGGAAAGAATTGTTATAGTTAGAATTATCAAGTTATAAACCTGTGGGGAACATGTAAACCCTAGTTACTTTGATTAATTGATTAAACTCCAACATTCGAAGCTGTTAGTTGTTTCCTTTAATTTCGCTAGTTATTTTCATCTATTTAGAAATAGAAAACCCCCCTTTTATCATTTTTGTTTTCCAAGGAAGTAATTGATTGAACAATAGTAATAATAGATTGAAGTTAAGTCTAAACTATTTTCCTCGTGGGAACGATCTCAACCTCATTAGTTGGGTTATTTAATTGACACGACCACTTTACTTCTTATTTGAGAAGTAAGTTTGAGCGTATCAGTTAGGTCATATTAGAGAATTCGTAATTGATTATTAGTGTAGTGGCATATACTTGACCTTTTCTTCCAGGAATTAGTAATATACAAAAATCAGTGGGTGGGTAGATAGTAAAGATTTATTAATAAATTCAGATTAAATTTTAAATTTATGATATGTTAATCAAGTAAAATTATTGGTTAATAAAATTAGATAATTTTTTTAAGGGAAAAAAGTCTTAAATATATTCAAACTTCGATTGAAATTGTTTTAACAATATTAAATTTTGGAAAGGATCTTATCCCCTCACAAAAAAATCACATTTTGTAAAAGCGCTGAGCGATTTTGCTTTTTCCGGCGGAGGAAATCACTGTTGTTCTAGTGATTTTGCCGTTTTAGTTAATATAAAAATTTGCAGCAATTTTCTTAATTTTTTATAATAAAAATTAAAATTGATGCCTTTGGCAGCAATTTTCTTAAAATTTTTTACGCAACGATTTTGTTGAATTATTTTTTTAAAATGAAGATCGCTGGCAGCAATTTTTTTGAATTTTTTTTAAAAAATATAAAATCGCTAAGCAGCGATTTTGTTTTTTAAAAATGAAGACCGCTGGCAGCGATTTTATTGATTTTATTTTTAAAAAAATGAAACGCTCCTACTGGAGCGATTTGTGACTATTTAAAAAAAATCTTATAAAGATCGCTGCTTAGGTAGCGATTTTGTTGCAAAAAAATTTTTTTTTCTAAAAAAAGAAAATCGCGGCCTAGGCAGCTATTTTAATTTTTTTTAAAAAAAATCACATTTTGCAAAATCGCTGCAATAGTAGCGATTTTACTTTTTCATCGGAGGAAATCGCTGTTGTTCCAGCGATTTTACCGTTTTGGTTAATATAAAATTTTATGTACCATTTTTGGATATTTTATTAATATTTTATACCCTTTAGGCTACGAACTCTCATACTTGTCATTATACTCTCTAAAAGGGTCATATGACCATTCTTTTATCGAAAAGAGCCTATAATACCCTGAAAGTATTAGAAATGGTACAAAATTACCCTCCATCCACCTATTGGCTCCAAAATATGCTTCTCATCCACCTATTAGCTCCAAAATACTCTTCTCATCCACCTTTGGGTTCAAAATTGTCCACTTATTTAATAGTTTTAAATTTAAATTGCTTAAATATTTTTTAAATACTTGACACTCAACTATTGATTATAAAAGGGCCTGAAATACCTCGAAGTATTGAAAATGGAACAAAACTATCCTCCATCCACCTATTCGCTCTAAAATACCCTTTTCACCCACCTATGGGCTCCAAAATACCCTTGTCATCCACCTTTGGGTTCAAAATTGACCATTTATTTAACGGTTTCAAATTTAAACTATTTAAATATTTTTTTGAATAGTTGGCGCTCAACTAATGAATATAATTTAATTTATTAATATCATTTATAAATCAACTCAATATCCACCCATTACTAATTGAACCTCACTCAATTAATAAACCAATTTGAATATGTGAACACACATTCTAGAGTCTCAATTCGAATTAAAGACGTCTTGTAGAGTCTCACAAATTTTCAGTGTCTACAAATGTCCCCTGCTTCAAGGCTTGCCGGAGTGTAGATTTGATGAAACTCAAAGACGAGGCTTGAAATACTCATTCTTTCACCTTTGCAGCTTCAAATTTTCATATTTGATTTACGAGAGAAGAGATGAAGGGAAATTTTGTCCTACTAGGCATGCCAATTTGTTTGCAACAAATGTTAAGTGACAGAAATAAATAACAATTACAAAAATATAAAGAAATTTAATTTTATTTATCAAGATAGCGAGTACAATTTTGTTTCTCCCTTTATTTTCCTCCTTGATTCAAGGGTCATTCGCGGCGTATTTCTCAAACTAGGATGATTTAGTTTTGACCTCCATATGAATATTTCATGACTTTTGTGGAATATGTGAGATCGTGATCTTTAAAAATATGCAAGAGTTTATGTGATATTTGAAATGTCTTTTAAGAAAATTTAGTACATGTATAAACTAGACTTTAGGGTTGAACAACCTTCAAGAATTCCAATTGAAACTGAACACATCTTCTAGAATCTCAATTCAAATTAAACATGTCTTGTAGAGTCCCATAAAATTTTAATATCTAACATTACTTAAACATAAAGATAAACATATACTAAGTATGAACCTTTGAATTAATCTTTATCATATAAAGTGTTTAAATTACTATGTACGGACAACATTCTTTATAAGCGAAATCCTTTTTCAAATACGATAATCATTTATACATATCCTGCATAAGAAATCCTAGATAATCTCATCGGTCTTAATACTTTTAAGGTCAAAAGTAAATGAATAACATTCCAAATTAAGAGAAATCCTTTGAAGTTTAACCAAATTAAATGAGCTTAAAATTGAGGTTCGTCAATTTCATTAGGTTCAATATAATTATTTATGATTAACTGGATGTTATTAGAGGCGGATCCAGAACTTAGAGTCCATGAGTGCCTAATAGACTTAACGCCTAAATCAATTTTACATTTAATTTGCTATTCGTCTTTCAATTTAATTGACAAATCGTTCACTAAAATAGGAATAAACAACAATTATAATTTTTTTTTTCAAAAAGTGTTTGTAGGTTGTTTATAAAAAAAAAATTATAGTTGAGGGTCTCACATAGTTTGAAGTTCAAGAATAAATAGATATCATATAGCTGGGAGAGTATGTATATATATATAGGACTGTAGGAGTTTATGGATGATTTTCGATTTCGAGTTACGTGAAAATAGTCCAAGACTTATATAATTATTTGTCAAGATTACTGACGACATTTCCACTATATTTTCTTATTGAAGTATATTTGATGCATTTCAATATTTATGAAATTATGAAATTATTGAGAAGAGAAAAAATAAAATTATATTCCTTTCGTTTCTTGTGTTAGTTATTAACTTTTTCTTCCATATTCATTAAGAGATTATTAACAAAAATTGTCAATTTCCTATTTTACTCTAAGATCATTTTTTTTTTTGCAAATTCTTACAAAATTTTTTATAGTTTCAAGAAAAATTAATTTTTAGGATAATGAAAATAAAAAAGATAATTATTTAATTTTGTTAATTTAAAAATATTTTAGTAATATGAATAATTATTATAAAATAGAAAAATAATAATAAATATTAAAAGTAGGATGAATTAGGATAGATTTCATAAATATAAATTATTTAAATATAAGAAAAGTGTAAAATAATTTGGAATAATGGTTAAAAGAAAAAAAGAAAAAGAAGGTTGAAAAGCTGATTATGATGGTTAAACTCACTTAATAAACGTTCCAGCAGTTTTAGAAACGGAAAAACTTTAATTACGTCAGGTTCAAACATTCAGCCTTTTGCTATTTGGACCTCAAAACACTTTTGTGTTGTGAGTGGCATGTTTAATATTTATCTATATATTCATATATACACCTATATAAAAGATTTCGAAGTTTATGGGTGGCGTGACACCCCCACCGCACTGAATAGATCCGCCCCTGGCTGCTAGATATACTCACCAAAATGACTCACTGCATGGTAACATATACTTCCACATTTCACAAAGAATGTTTCAATTTGACTTGACACAGAATTTAAGAAAATAAAAAAGACTTTTGATCATGCGGTTTAAATTAAAGTTATGTCAAATGCACCAAATTACTCTTTAATCTTGTAATCTTAAATATGTCATGTGGAAAATTGTTATAAAAAAAGAATAAGATCATTTTTTTTTAAACAGACTAAAAAAAAGAGATCATTCTTTTTTTAAAACAAAGAAATTATTAGTCATGTTATTTAGCTCACGAGTATATCATTAGCAATTCTATATATAGTTCTCTAATTATGTTGTGAAGCTCGTAACTAATGTAATTTATTTAGAATTATATGGAACTTTACATCTTAATTGTGTGTTTTTTCAGAAAAAGAAAAAGTAAAATCTACCCGTTTGACTTAAATAACTTTCATAATCAAAATATGATATTACAATAACAATAAATTTGACCAAATACCTCAACTATCTAAAATAAACATTCTGTTAATTAGTCTTATTTTACGTGCATCCTTTTTATTTTGAGTATTTGTTTGGATTATTATTACTTATTATATTATATATATTGTATTGTATCGTATCATTATCATATTTACAATATTTATTTTGATTGCTATTTAGAATGTATTATATTTTGTTGTTAAATTTCATTATTACGTAATTATGAAAAATTTCATTTCATGGAACAATCGATTTGGTGTCTTCCCGTTATTACTTAATTTTTCTAAAAAAATTATATCCTTGCATAATATTTCAAAATACTTTTTTTTACCCTTTAACCTATATTATTTCATTCTAGTCAAACCTCCTGCCCTAGAATAATTATGGATATTCTAATAAATTTATAAATTAACAATACAGTGCGATACGGTCAAACCAAACAATAAAAAATTTATTGAACAACAACAAACAGTACAGTCTAACCAAACATTGTATCTATCACATAGTATTGTACAATAGAATACAAATAGAGTACAATACAGTACATTATGAAATAATGGATAACAATGATCCAAAGAGAGTGTCAAGAAAAATCATCGTAGTATATTTATAGATAATTTAATTTTAAAATTTTCATTTGACCACATAAATCAGGACAGATAAAATATTTTTTTTCGCGAAATAGATACTTTAAAGTTGCTAGCAACCGGCACCTACACCGGCAGTTGCACCGGTAACAGCAGCATCGTTGACTGCATTGATAGCATCAAGGATTACTATTAATGAGACGATGAAGGCTTGATCAATGTTTGGATACATTGTCACCATAAAATTGTCTTTTCCAATTAATAAACTCTTGACAGTAATTTTCTTATGCATCTGCAATAAGTCACAACATATAATGTTCATTAATTCATCAGTTTCGATCAAGAAATTTATTTATGTAGTCAATTATTAATGTTCTTTTTAAGGTTGTTTAGTAGAATGTATTAGAAAAAATAATATATGCATTAGTTCTCTGTGTTAGAAAAATTGTAGTATCTTGTTTAATATATTTTTTTTTAGCCAATGAATATAACTAATACTTGTATTAATTTCGCAATCATAGAATAGTAAAAGTGTGGTCTGTATTGTTATAATATAGATTTTCATCTATATTATGTAATTCAAAGGATTTCAATACATGCATTAACTAATTTGATTGATGAAATTATTATTCGTTTAAATCTCTATCAATATATTTTTTATTTCTCAAAACTAATGATCGTGGAGGATATATTTATAAACAAGTATTTATTATCAAAGTTATATAAAATTTGTTATTTTTATTACATTAAACCAAAAGTATATAAGAAATAATATTGATATGACGAGCTAATGCATAAATTATTAATATACATTATTTAACACTATTATTATTATACACTCGCTCAAACGATAACTTTTAAGAAAGAAAGTACCATGAACTAAATTAAGAAAACACAAGCCAAAATATTGTGTAATATAATAAATATGTCTAGCTCTGAAATATTTTATGGTGAATAAAGTATACCATGCCATAGTTATACAACAGACCAGAGTTTTATAATAAATTTTATTGCTCCATGCATTTATAACTTATCTTCTTCTTCTCACTCCTCCCCCTAACTTTCCATTTACTCCTCCCTCTAACATAAATTACATTGTCTTTTTTTTTAAAAAAATATTTAAATTTATTTTACTACACAACTGAGCAAAAGTAATTTTTGAAAATTGATATTATGTTCTTATTTTCTCTCCATCTTTAATATTATTTCTCTAATTCTCCTCTAACATAGTATATTTTTCTTTTTCCTTCTTTATGTCTACTTATCAAATTTTAAATAATGTTATTTCAAAATATAAAATGTAATTTTTTAAAATAATTTATATACCATTTTAAAATTTTTATTAATATTTTATACCTTTTAAGCTCCGGACTCATATATAAAATAAGAAAATAAGTAGAATAAGTATTTTTCATTTGAAAAGAAGATGTCATATAGATTCTTTTTTCTTTTTAACACATTAGGTATGGGTATATTTTTTCTTAAACACGATATTGTGTACCTTTCCTCACTAATTCTAAGAATATGGTTTAAAATAATAATTTCAGTTATATCTTGATATTCTTTATTACTTTCTTTATTTTACGTTGAATTTATCTTCAAAATAGATTTTTACTAAATTCATAAAATTGATGGTAAATTATTTCATTTCAAGTAGCAATGGAAAAGCTTGCTCTAATTTTTCTTGTTTTGAAATAATCGTTAGAATGAAAAGTATTATTGATTCATTAGAGTGATTGGAGGTATCTTCTTTAAGATAAATATTTAATGGGGAGGTCATTTGAACTGAAAATATAACAAATGACAAATTAATTTGATCTATTTTACATACAAGAGTATTTTTACCTTTTCCTCTAAAAAGTCCTATAAAATCATTAAATATTTGAAAATATCATAGTAACTAATAATATCATTACTCTCAAAATAATAAAAGTATCGCTTATTTAATTTCTTTTAATATGACGGGAAATTTTCATTTTACTATTACCAAAAATGAAATTATGCCGTCTTATTTTTTTGGCTTTATCAAAATAGAGTCTTTTCAATAATTAGTTAGTTTTTCAATTTTTGTATTTTATATTGACAAACTTAAAATCATAAGATTTAGAAAAATACATATATCTTTAATTTATAAAATTCAAAGCCTCCCATTATTTTTAAATTTATTGTTATTTGTCAAGTCAAACTAAATTAATATGCGTAAAGTAAAAATAACAAATAGAAAATAAGATGAACAATAACTAACCTGAGCAACTATGGTAGAAGAATCTCCGGCGTATATTACACATGATCTATCGGACCAATTTCCCTTAATCAAATAATCACAATTCTTTTCCTTAGAATTGTTATTTGCTAAGAAAATAGCCAATTTAGTCTTCCATTGAAATATGGATGTTGTCTTTATAGTAAATAATAAGTGTTTCTCATCTGTGCTTTCTCCTTTAAATGCATTCCATCTCGAATGCTCAGTCAATATCTATACAAAAATTAATTGATAGCGAGAACTACTTTAGTTATAACGTAAAAAATATTTATATGATAGTAACTTATAAAGTTATTACTAGTAAACTATTATAATAAGTATTAAATGATAATTAATTTGGTATTACAAAATTAAAATTTACTGATAATGCAAGATATCTCTAATTATCAATGTTTATAAACTTATTTATCATGTTATCATGTTACTATGTTAGTGAGTAGTGTTGAAGAAGAAGGAACATGTCCGATGCAATTGACTGACTTGTCTATAATAAGTGTTGATGAATAAGGAAGCTGAGGATTGGAACATGTCGAAGGAACATGTATGTCCAACGAAGCTGATTGACGAGTTTATAACACTGCTCTAGAATTAGAGTCGCACTAGGATTAGACTACTCATATTAATTAGTACTCCCTCCGTTTCTAAAAGAATGACCCTATTTCCTTTTTAGTCTGTTTAAAAAAGAATGACCTCTTTCCCTTTACGGTAATACTTTAACTTTAACTTTCCACGTGTCATGTTTAAGACCACAAGATTAAAGGACATTTTAGTATAATTGACATAACTTTAATTTACAACCACAAGATTAAAAAGTCTTTTTTTTCTCTTAAACCCCGTTCCAAATCAAACTAGGTCATCCTTTTTGAATGGAGGGAGTATTATATTTCGACTAGGATTAGGATTATAATACAAGCAGGATTAGATTATTTACAATTGAATTATAATTATTAGAGTAGTAATAGATATTGTAGTATGACTCAAAGTAGTTTGAGTCATACTACAATATCTATTACTACTATAATAATTATAATTCTCTCCTATATAAGGAGCTTGTAACTCAATACTATTTTCATCAATACATCAATACAATCTTTGATTTTTCTACGTGAGATTTCTACTTGAATTTCTACAAGTAACACATATCTTCCTTAAGATTTGACTTGTAACATTAGCTAACATAAGTTATGGTGCAGTGACTTGGACTGCTCCACCCTTAAGTAGCGGATGAGAGACCTAAATATGGAGAAAATTATATTGGTAACGCCCGTGCATTTATTTTGATTTTTATTTTGTAACATTTTTTTTATAACCTAGCTATTTATTATTATTTTTAAAAATTATAATCGTCAACTCAAATGAGCCTTGTGTGCAGTGAGCAATCCAGATTTAGTTAAAACTCCATTGCGGACTAGGTGGGAGAAAAAAAACTTTCAACATGAACTTTTCCTCCCTTATTTGATTTTTACAACATTTTTTTGTAACCTAGCTACTTATTATTAATTTAGAAATTATAATACAGGAAGATCTCTGAAATTAACCTTTTTAAATGTACTACCTTTTGTTTGAGAGTGATGAGGGGATTATCAGCAGCATCAAGAATAACTCTCTTATCATGCCATCCAAAAGTTGTGCCTTTAACTTTGAACATGAAGTTTCCATTCATATCTGAAACAACAAAATCTCCATATCTAAATGTCTTCACCTTCCTAGATATAACAACATCAACCTGGTTCGGCGTGCAATATTCGGATCCAATTATAGCAACTGGATCATTAGCCATAGTTGCATAACTTGATTCTGCCATGAAGAATGATCAGTGACTTTTACTTGTTAGTTATGGAAAAATAACTTGACAATACTCTTTTTTATTTCTTAAAGATATTTTTTGTTTGTGGTATATAATATAAGATAAGGTTCCAACTTGGGGATAAGCAATAGGTACACATCTTATTCTATACAACTGTATTTGTGAATATTCTTATTCTACAACTATGACTTTGATCCGATTTTAGAGACGTGTATATTGAGTTATTACTAGTCTCAAATATTATTCCAACCTACCGAGAAAGAAGAGGAATTGTTCTAACCTGTCTATTTAGTTGAAACTAGATATTTTTTGCTCGGGCCCTATATTGACCTTATTATTGTCTGTTTCATTCATAGAATAGGGACACGCTCCATGATGAACATGATGACACTTGTCTAATAACACCTCAAAATCTGGTTGTCACGTGTACAAGTCTTTAATACAAAAAGTGTGAAAATGAAATAATTACATAGTCTCAATTTCTTTGTTTATCAAATAGAACAAAGCTTAACATAAATAAAAAGAGGGTCCGTCAGGAAGACAAGTAGCTACCTCTCAATATATAGTCCTTTGACAAGCCTCGAAAAGTAGGAGAAGAAGAAGAGTGGTCACACCACACCGGGGTCGAAACAAGCAAGGAGCGAGTACCAACATGTATAAGAACAAGAGACAGAGAACAGACAAGAACTGAAGCTAACTCTTTTATGTATTATTTCTCTCTATGTGTCTCGGCTATTTATATATATATATTAAGCACACTAAGCTTCTCTCAAGCCCCTCTACATTCTCTTGATTTTATGAAGACGTTTTTTAGAGTAACTTATCAGTAAGGATATGAGCATTTCTATTTCAACCAACTTGAGTATGATGGGTAGTCGAATAAAGTTGAGAAACGCACGAATCTGAATAAGTTCCTTATGATAGAGTTCTATTGCACGATTTAGAGTAAGAAAAAAAGAGAAACTTTTCTTAAATGTGTCTAGTCCATCATTTATAGAAGTAGGGTCCTCACAACCATAAATAAGATCCGACTAGCATAGCTTCAAAGGTACCCTTAGGACACGTGAACTCTACGCTTTAATACCATTTGTAATGGCCCAACCCAGTAGTGATATCGTTCGCTTTGGTTCTATGCCTGCATGACTTTATAACGCGATGCTAGTTGGTAAGAACTGAATACTTGTATACCGAACATCTCTCATGTGTTTTGTCAATGTTGGACTTCTAATCTTAAGTTGAGTCATCACATACGGGGACCCTCTTTATAGACTCAACGTCCTCATTGAGATTGAGATTCTGTAACGAACGGAATGTCGTTATTTAGGAAAGAAAAAACGTCGAGACAAAAGGGTCCCTCATCCCGCCAGAGCGGGATAGGTGCCACTAGGGTGGTGGTGTTCCAACGGGACAAGGAGTCTTATTTTCTCCTTTTCCCAAAACACCAAAAAGAGGCGAGAATCACCCCAGGGTTGCTGATCTAGGCTTGGGAAAGACAAAAGAAGTCTCCTTCATTTTATTTGGTGAAAATTCCAAGAGATATTTTATCAAAAATATTGTCCACGTGACCTAAATTTTCATCGATAAAAGAAAATAGCTCTGAATAGCCCTCAACATTATCTACATGGCTTGAGTTTTCTTCGACCAAATGAGAAGCAATGTCTCTGTTTGAGACTGTAGCAACACTTATACTCACATCTTTCTCTATAGCGTACTTAGATGTAACTGAACATTTGTTCTCAATCTTCTGAAGCAAAGCTAGAATATTGGTAATTTGAGTGTTAACCACAAGAGATTTTGTGTAGGTTTGTTTGGAAAAATGAAAGGCAAACTTCTCCTTGAAATGGGTCCAATCAAAAAATTGTTTGGTGGAGAAACATCCAACGGAACTGTTGGGCTATTGCCCATGATCCAGCCAAGGGCCGATGGTCTAATCCTACTTTAAAAAGTATTAGAATTATTCTCTTTATTTGATTTTCTAATTCTATTAGGAAAAAGATTGAAATTGTAATCCTATTTGTATTTGGTTTTGACTTTGTAAGAAAAAACACAACTCTATAAATAAAGGATGTTCTTGAGAGAATAAATCAATTTCTCATTGAAATTGTTTTTGAAAGACATTAGAGCATAAGAGAGGCTTTTGAGAGAGCTTTCAAGAAGAGAAAAGAGAGAAGGAAAAGAGTGCTTTTGCTGCAGTCTTTTTCTTCGATCATCAACGTTCAGATCGTGTTTCTCGATTAACTAGCCATTGGATCGGGCTGAAATTTGGACCGAGTGTTACTGACGTTTTGATGGTTGATTTGAACGGTGGAGATCAGATTCGTAGGTCATAAAGATCCTGTTTTAGGTGCAGAACAGAAGCTGGGTTTGAGTGGTTTTTTTCTATTTATCTTTTGTTGGTTTAGCTATTGTTTATTCTGTTTTAGCACTTTTTGTGTAAACATTAGAATAATATTTGTAACCCTCTTATTGGTGTAGTGAAGCAATTTAGATTTTGTCGATCCTGTGGTGGTTACCTTCGGTTTGAAGAGTTTTTCCACGTTAAACTTGGTGTTCTCTATTGTTAGATTTTTGGTTTCATCTTTTCGTCCCAACAACTGGTATTAGTGTTGAATGTCTTGAATCGGACCCGTTACAAACAGAAAGGACGGGGGTAGCTTAGCACTATATATATATATATAGACGCTATGGCAAACCCTATTTTGTAATTCTATTTTTGCCTCTCCATAATAAAACTGAATCCCTCTCTTCCCGTGGACGTAGCCAATTTATTGGTGAACCACGTAAATCTGTTGTCTTGTTTTTCGCGTTTATATATTTTCTCGTATTATCTCAAATTCCGCACAACAAATTGGTATCAGAGCCTCTCGGTTAATCGGTGTTCTTGGAGAATTCGAGATGTCTGCTTTGAACGTGAAAATCGACAAATTCACAGGGAGGAACAGTTTCAGTTTATGGCAGATTAAGATGCGGGCTTTGTTGAAACAGCAAGGCTTCTGGGCGCCGTTGTCGAAAGACAAGAACGCCGTCGTTACTCCTGAGATGGCGATTCTGGAGGAAAAGGCGCACTCGACGATCATGCTGTGTCTCGCGGATGACGTCATCACGGAGGTCTCGGATGAAGAGACTGCTGCTGGTCTGTGGTTGAAGCTGGAGAGTTTGTACATGACAAAATCTCTAACCAACAAGCTGCTTCTGAAACAACGTCTATTCGGTTTACGAATGGCTGAAGGTACACAACTCAGGGAACACTTAGAGCAATTGAATACTTTGTTATTAGAATTGCGTAATATCGATGTGAAGATCGAGGATGAAGATGCTGCCCTGATTCTGTTAGTATCTCTCCCAATATCGTTTGATAATTTTGTTCAATCGTTCATTGTTGGGAAAGATACTGTGTCACTGGAAGAAGTAAGATCGGCCCTTCATAGCAGGGAATTACGGCATAAGGCTAACGGCACAAGTACGGACATACAGCCCTCCGGTCTGTTCACCAGTAGCGGAAAGGGAAGGAAAAACGGCGGAAAGAAAAATAAGCCGATGTCGAAGGGTGCAAAGTCGTATGATGTTTGTAATTACTGCAAGAAGAAGGGACATTGGAAATTTGATTGTCCGAAGAAGAAGAAGCAATCGGAAAAACAATCAGTGTCTGCTGCTGTTGCTGAAGAAGATACCAATTCTGAAGAAGATATTGCCCTAGTTGCGGATGAGCACACTCATCATTCAGATGTGTGGGTTCTCGATTCTGGGGCATCCTATCACATCTGTCCTAGGAGAGAGTGGTTCACGACTTATGAGCAGGTAGACGGAGGCAGCATCTCGATGGCCAACAGTTTTGTCTGCAAGGTGGTTGGGACAGGCTCGATCAAGATAAGGACACATGACGGTAGCTTCTGCACATTGAACGAGGTCAGGCACGTTCCATTGATGACGAAAAATCTGATATCTCTCAGTCTTTTGGATAGCAAGGGATTCAGCTGGTCGGGAAAAGATGGAGTCTTGCGGGTCTGGAAGGGTTCAAATTTGATTCTGAAAGGTGTCATGCGTGGTACTTTGTATTTTCTACAAGGTTCCACGGTTACAGGTTCAGCCCATGTTGCATCGTCAGAATTTCACCAGAAGGATATGACTAAGTTATGGCACATGAGACTTGGTCACATGGGTGAAAGAGGGATGCAAATTCTGTCAAAGGAGGATTTTCTTGATGGTCATAAGGTTAAGATCCTAGAGTTTTGTGAACATTGTGTTTTTGGAAAACTACATCGCAACAAGTTTCCAAACGCCATTCATAGAACAAAAGGCACACTTGATTATATCCATTCTGATTGCTGGGGTCCATGCCGTGTTGAGTCATTGGGAGGCTGCAGATTTTTTGTGTCCATTATTGATGACTACTCAAGGATGACTTGGGTGTACATGATGAAGCATAAAAGTGAAGCTTTCCAGAAGTTCAAGGAGTGGAAAATTTTGATGGAAAATCAAACAGGGAAGAAGATCAAGAGGTTGCGAACTGATAATGGGCTGGAATTCTATTGGTCTGAATTTGATCAATTCTGTAAGGATGAAGGGATTGCTCGACATCGTACAGTCAGAAATACACCACAGCAGAATGGTGTAGCTGAGCGGATGAATCAAACACTTCTGGAGAGAGCAAGGTGCATGCTCTCTAATGCTGGGCTAGATAGAAGATTCTGGGCAGAAGCGGTTAGTACAGCTTGCTACTTGGTTAACCGCGGACCACATACAGGCATACAGTGCAAGACACCTATGGAGATGTGGTCAGGAAAAGCTGCTGATTATTCAAATCTGAAAGCTTTTGGTTGTACGGCTTACTATCACGTCAGTGAAGGTAAGTTAGAACCAAGAGCTAAAAAGGGAGTATTTGTGGGCTACGGAGATAGAGTGAAAGGTTTCAGAATCTGGTCTCCAGCAGAAAAGAGGGTCATTATGAGCAGGAACGTTGTCTTTGATGAAAGTTCTCTGCTTAGAACAATTGTGAAGCCTACAACTACGTCAGAAACTGGGAGTCTTGATAAATAGGTGGAGTTTCAAGTCATTCAGAGCGAGAGCGATTTGAAAGAACCTGAAGAGGAGGATCAAGAGCCACAGACAGAAAC